AGCGTATGAAGACGTTCATGACCATCACGGATGAGACCGAGTGGCAACACTTTGGACTCATGGAATCTCTCAAGAGATTCGCGAACTGCACTCAGAAGCAAAATGAGTCTGTGAACGATTACAGAAGACGGTTCGAAGCTCAAGCGGACCAAGTATTCAAAATCCTTGGCACCGATGTGTTGCATGTCTATGCGACCAAAACAATGGGGTACCTGGATCTGTACGATCCGGAGGATGGTCCGGACGATACCAAGGCACTTCAAGAGACGTTCAAGAAGGAAGTTCTGGAAACATTTAAGGCCAGCGCATTCTTCTACAACTGCGACAGGTCTCGCTTCCAAAGCATGTTGGACAAGGCAAATCAGACCTACGCCATGGAATTCAAGGACTACGAACAAAGAAATGAATACCCGACTACGATTGATCAGGTCGCAAAAGCGCTGATCAAACATAAGCCGGACAATCGAGGAAAAGGTCCAACGACACCAAGAAATACTCCAAGAACCAACACTGCAAGCGGTAGTGTCCCTGACGGAGTGAGCAACGCACAAGCGAATGCTCGAACGACTACTCGAACAACATCTTCACGACCGGCTTTTAGTTGCTGGTGTTGCGGAGATACTGGCCATGGGGTCACCCGTTGTCCCGAGCGCTCCACGCGCCCACAAGCGGAATGGAGCGACCCAGGGCGATACAGCGACACACCCACTACTACTACTTCAAGAAGAGCGGGGAGAGCCAATCTCCAAGTCCCTGCGGCTGCATCTGCGGCGCAGTCGGATGCCGCGTCTAGCGTCACGGGAATGCCATCAACTGGTCAACAACATCGAAGCAATATGCAACGAGCTGTTGTTGACAGGAGTGGAAATGACACTTCTGGTCCTACTGATGTACCCGGCTCTTATGTGGTACGCGGCAGATCTGTTGCTGATGGACGATCTAACGGTAGAATTACAGGATGGAACCTTGCACAAGTACGTGCAAGACCGATTCTGAAGAAGAAAGCAGTCTCCACTGAAGACAGGGGAGAGTTGCTAATGAAGAAATGGCAAGCACAACTAGACGCTGCCAGTACTTTCAAGGACGATGACAGCATGGTCAGCGATGGAAGCTTGAACATGCAGATCTACAAGTCGACCTCGAAGATGGATTCATTGAAGCACTGTTCTCAATGGACCAAAGACAACAAGA